CACCTCTATATATCTCCCAGCCGAGTATAATCAACTATATTCGCACCCCTTCTTTTCCTGTTCTCGCAATGATGAGAAAAGATTTATATAATAATAAAAAATATTTGAACAATAATTAATTTGTATGAAAAGTTTGTTACTTGTGAAAATGCATTTTTAATTTTGCATCAACATTTCTCCCGCCACTGATGCCCGTGCCGACTTGACCGACCTAGTGGAGAAACCGACTCGGCCGCCATCTCGCGGCATTCCCCTTGCGGAATACATTGCCCATAGTGGCGTTCAATCCACTAACAATTATTTCATTAAATTAATTTAAAAACTATGAATTAATGATGCCATTATGAACTAATTAGCTGTATATTAACTCCCACAGCATTTTTGGGGGTCATTTACCCTTTTTTATCGATAAAAATGACTGCCACTTTTTGCAACTTTTTGCCCCGTAACGTGCGGGGCACGCTACTCGCCAAGGATTGTGACATTTGACCCTCCCTCTAGTGACCCTCGTGACGTTTGACGTTCCATCTAATCACCCTCGTGACGTTTGACTCTCCCCCTAGTGATCCTTGTGACGTTTGAACCTCTCCCTCTAATGACCCTCGTGACGCTTGACCCTCTCCCTAGTGACCCTCGTGACGTTTGACTCTCCCCCTAGTGATCCTTGTGACGTTTGAACCTCTCCCTCTAATGACCCTCGTGACGCTTGACCCTCTCCCTAGTGACCCTCGTGACGTTTGACTCTCCCCCTAGTGATCCTTGTGACGTTTGAACCTCTCCCTCTAATGACCCTCGTGACGCTTGACCCTCTCCCTAGTGACCCTCGTGACGTTTGACTCTCCCTCTAGTGACCACCGTGACCTTTGACCCTCGTGACCCTCGTGAGGTTTGACCCTCCCCTTAGTAACCCTCGTGACACTTGACCCTCCCATTAGTGACCTTCGTAACGCTTGACCCTTCTCTTAGTAACCCTCGTAACGTTTGACCCTTAGTGAAATTTACATACTTCATGTGCTAAGTCAACATGTCTTTTTTTTTAGTGATCCTCGTGACGTTTGACCCTCCCTCTAGTGACCCTCGTGACGTTTGACTCTTCACCTCGTGACCCTCGTGACGTTCCATTTAATCACCCTCGTGACGTTTGACTCTCCCTCTAATGACCCTCGTGACGTTTGACCCTCCACTTAGTGACCCCCGTAATGTTTGACCCTCCCCCTAGTGACCCTCGTGACGTTTGACTCTCCTCCTAGTGACCCTTGTGACGTTTGACCCTCTCCCTCTAATGACCCTCGTGACGTTTGACCCTCTCCCTAGTGACGTTTGACTCTCCCTCTAGTGACCGCCGTGACCTTTGACCCTCGTGACCCTCGTGAGGTTTGACCCTCCCCTTAGTAACCCTCGTGACGCTTGACCCTCCCATTAGTGACCCTCGTAACGTTTGACCCTCAGTAAAATTTACATACTTCATGTGCTAAGTCAACATATCTCTTCTTTTTGTGATAACCCAACGAGTTAAGTCAACTTGACTCTCCACACAGAATTAAAATTTGAAGGTAACTACTTAAAACTGCGTAAAGGATTAATTCCGCAATTTTATAATAATAGGGTAAAAAGTTAAAGGACAGTAGAATAAAGATTCGGCGTCATTTGTACTAAATTTCCCACTATCGATGACATAGCCGTTTTTTTGCTCTCCTGTAAAATTTCATTTTATGCACTTACCTCGTTTTACCACTTCACTACAGAGATCATCGTCTGCCCCATGCAAGATTGTCTTCCGCGCCGAAGGCGAGGATGGCAAGCACGTGGGGGAGTGTGATGTTTTCCATGGGGNCACTTAGTGACCCCCGTAATGTTTGACCCTCCCCCTAGTGACCCTCGTGACGTTTGACTCTCCTCCTAGTGACCCTTGTGACGTTTGACCCTCTCCCTCTAATGACCCTCGTGACGTTTGACCCTCTCCCTAGTGACGTTTGACTCTCCCTCTAGTGACCGCCGTGACCTTTGACCCTCGTGACCCTCGTGAGGTTTGACCCTCCCCTTAGTAACCCTCGTGACGCTTGACCCTCCCATTAGTGACCCTCGTAACGTTTGACCCTCAGTAAAATTTACATACTTCATGTGCTAAGTCAACATATCTCTTCTTTTTGTGATAACCCAACGAGTTAAGTCAACTTGACTCTCCACACAGAATTAAAATTTGAAGGTAACTACTTAAAACTGCGTAAAGGATTAATTCCGCAATTTTATAATAATAGGGTAAAAAGTTAAAGGACAGTAGAATAAAGATTCGGCGTCATTTGTACTAAATTTCCCACTATCGATGACATAGCCGTTTTTTTGCTCTCCTGTAAAATTTCATTTTATGCACTTACCTCGTTTTACCACTTCACTACAGAGATCA